GAATTTTTTGCAGCTCCCTGATGATGTACTGATACACAAATTTTCACTTATCGGTGGCAAAATGTTACTTGCATGTGATATTACTAAGCGTTCAATAATTTCCACGTTCTGTTGGATCACCTTTCTTTGGAATGTGCACAGATGGATAGGTGTCTTCCAAATCTCTTGGCACAGACTCGTGAGTGCTTCCTGCACTTCATCGGCTTGTGGAAACATTTCTTTTGGTAGTTAGTTCACCAGTTCCTGGGACCCTGCTTTGTGCCAAAGACTTCAGAGCAGCATAGACTTCTTCCTTCATGACCATTGGTTCTTGATCACGGGCTACCTCTGGAACTGGGTGAATGTCAACCAATTATTTTGGTCTAGTGACTCTGTATTACTTTCATATTCTTTTGATGCTTCGTGAGTCCTTCTATATTTTGTCCATAAAACCCTTCCGTAGTATGACTCACAGCTTGAGTTGTTTCTTCGGTTGTTATAGCTTGAGATAGGTTAAGGGTGTTCTTTTATTTTTGATTTTCTAATTCCGAATCTTTGAACGTTTTATTATAATGCTTCACTTTGCTTTCTGGAGCTGCCTTCTGAAATTTTTGTTGAGCTCATTTACTTCATCATTTCTTCCAATTGGTTTAGCTATTCTGTGTTCAAGAGCAAGTTTCATAGTATTTTCTGAGACTCACTTTGATCTTTTCGTTCATTCCTGGCTTTTTAATGACCTTTTGCTTTCTTCATGCATGATGTCCTTGGTACCATCCCATAACTCAGTTATTAGTGTTCAATGCATTACATCTGTTCTTGAGATGTTCTCTAAATTCAAATCCGACATACTCAAGGTCATATTTCAGCTCCTGTGGACTTGTTTTAATTTTCTCCAGCTTCAGCCTGAACTTGCAAATGACCATATGAACAATTGATCATCTATTCCATAGTGGACTTGTTTTGACCAATGATATTGAGATTCTCAATATCATAGTCAGTCCACAAGTATAGTCACCATTTAAGTGGCTGAAAAAAGATATTTGCAATGGAGAAGTGTCGGTCTTGCCAAATTCTATCATGCAATCCCCAGCTTCATTTCTATCAACAAGGTCATATTTTTAAACTACTTATCCTTCTCTTCATTTCCAACCATTCAATCACCATGCTGGATAGGTCTATTAGTGAAAGATTCTCTCTGTTTGTTTATCTGAAAAGTCCAAATTTCCCTAATTTTGAAAGTATCAATTTTCTGGATACAGAACTTTTGACTGCCATTTTATTTCTACACTTTCAATATGTCATCCCATTGCCTTCTGGGGTCCATGGTTTCTAAAGAGAAATCATCTGATAATCCTATATATAATTCCTCAAATGTGATGAATCGCTCTTACCTGTTTGCTTTCAAGATTCTTTATATTTGGCTTCTGACAGTTGGACTATATTGTGACTTGGTGTGGATCTCTGTGAGTATATCTTATTGGAGTCTGTTGACCTTATTTATGCAAATATGCTTTTGGGCTCTTACTTTCACCTTTTCTCCCTCTTGCACTCTGATTGTGAGGCTTTGTCATTCTTGATGATGTCTCACATGTTTCTGAAGTTCTAATACTTTTTATTCACTTTTCCCTCTTTCTACTCCTCAAACCACATTTGACCTTTCTTTTGACCTTACTTCATGGTCACGGTCGACATTTTCTGCTTGCTGAGATCTGCTGTGGATACCCTTGAGTGATAACTTAAAAAAACTTTTTTTTTAATGATCGGATTTTCAGTCCGTAATTTTTTGTTGGTTTCATCAAAAAAATTGAAAATCTCTGTATTGGTTCTGCTCATACATGGTGTTTCAGTTTTCTTCAATTCCTTGCCTACTGTTTCCTTTTCAGAGAGTTGAAGCCTTTGTATATTAAGTCTCACACCCGTGGTTTCTCAGGGATGCTATGGCTAGCTGCCATTGAGTCAATTCCAACTCACGGTGACCTTGTACGTTTCAGAGGAGAACTGCTCCATGAAGTTTTCAAGGCTACTGCTTTTTGTAAGGCGATCGCCTGGCCTTCCTTCTACAGGGGCTCTGTGTGGGTTTAAAGCAGTGATCTTTTTCTCTTCATTTTGTGGCCATGGAAATCTTTGCTCCCTTATCTTATTTCTTATCTAGGGCTTTGATAGAGTTTCCTTAAAGGCGCCAAGAAAAGAAATATTCCAATCCTTGGAATTTGCTTCTGTGTTGAAACATTCCTTCAACATTAAGCCACACCCATTTCCATCGCTAACTCAGCGGTCCCTTCTTGCTTTCTTGGAGCCAGAAAACCAGTAGAGCTAACAATTTAGGATCGTATGCCTTAATGCAGTTTTCAAAAGCAATTCAGAAAGGTTCTCCCACCCTGGGAATGCCTGGATTGGCAAAAACAAAATCAAGCCTATTCCTGGTCCTTGAAGAAGGTGCTTGTTACATGCCACAGGGTTAACTCCCAACCCACAGGTGGCAACCACATACACAGCAGTACAAAACACGCTTGGCCCTGTATCATCCCCACAGCTGATTGCTAACTGGACTGTTGGGATCCATAGGGTGGATTGCTGATTATCAGTAGTTTTCCAGCCTTCTCTTTTTGATCTAGTTTAATCTAGGGGTTCTGATGAAATGTACTCAGCATTACAGAAACAAGAACAGCTCTACTGACAGGAATCAAATCTTAAGTCTTGTGTTATTCCGGGTTGACTAGAGAACAAAATTCATAGACACTCATATGCGTACACGAAAGAGCTTTATATACAAGAGAAATTGAATATGGAGAGAGCATCCCAGCCCAGTCCAGATCAAGTGTATATAGCTGATATTAGCCCATATGTCCTGTACCAATCTATAAATTCCTCTTCAGACTCATGAAACACATGCAATGACACCAAATGCAGGAAGATCACAGACCAGTGGGTGAAAAAGTCTTGTGGATCCAGTGGCGGTGTCAGCAGCTCAGTGCTGGCATGGGTCTCCACGTGGCTCCTCCAGCTCCAGGGCTCTAGCGTAGCTCCCTATGCCTTGTCAACAGGAATGTCTCACAGGGAGTATGTGTCCCACTTCCAGCCAGCTATTTATCTCTTAGTGCCTCTAAATGAGGTCATCAAGCTGTGACCTGATTGAGAGGCTAAACTCCACCTTTTCACTCTTAAGTCTCAAGTTGACATCAGATTATGTAACTACCACAGGTCTGCACAAAAGGCAAGACTTCTCTCCCATGCAAAAGCTGCTATACAATTTAAAACACATGGCACAATTCCTTGGAGTTCAGAGTGTGAATTGTTCTCTCCAGGGCTTCCTTTGATCTAGGGGATGGAGGCAGATCTCTTACCATGTTATAGTAACTTCTTTTTCTGTTAGGATGTTCCCTGGTTGTTGTAAGTCTTTGATTAGTGTAAAGCAGTCATAGCAGTATCAGCACCAGAACCTGTCTAGTTTCAGGAAAGACAGAAGATAACGACCAAGATCAGCCCAAATCTGAGTCCCTTGAGATGAAGATCAGACATTCTCCTGTCCTCCAAAACTTTCTCTTTCAAATGTTTATACCAGCCATCTGCTTCATGACACTCTCTACTTATCTCCTGGGTTGGATCCTAATCAATCTCAATAGCCACGTAGCATTCAAAAGTGGTTTATTAAGAAAGGGACAGTGTGTTAGGTTGGGTTCTCTAGAGAAACCAAACCAGTGACACCTGTGTGTGCTGTATCTAAAGTGAGATTTACATCAAGAAATGGCCGATACAGTGGTAGAACTCGGTAAGCCCAGTCTGGTTCAAGTCAGGCTACTCCTGACATGTGGAAGATGATGAACAGGGAGCAGGATAGTTGGGAGTACAGGGTGGTGGATGCAGAAGTCTTAAAACAGCTGAGCTGAGTCCACTAGTCCACTGACAGATCCTGGGATCAGTAGGGGATGCAACAGGAGATCGAAAAACCAGGTGCAAGGTCCAGCTCCAGGTGAAGGGCCAAAGAGAGGGTTCGACTCTTCTAGGTCTCACTCTCTTATACAAACAGGCTTGGGATGCCAAGGAGGTGTCATCAGGCTGTGACACAATTGATAGGTTGAGCTCTGGGTAAGGACGCAGGTGTCGGGGAAAACCAGCCTCCAACAACCGAAGGGCCAGAAGGTGCAAATCTATGGCAATGATATATAGGAAAGGCATAGAGGATGTAGTAGTTACATAATCTGTTGTCAATTTGAGAGGACTAAGAGAGAAGGGGTGGCGTCTAGCCTGTCCATCAGGTCATAGCTTGATGACCTCATTTGGAGGGGCTAAGGAGATAAATAGCTCACTGGGGACATAGCAGCTGATGAGACACATGGAACTACACCGCTAGTGCCCTGAACTGGAGGAGCCATATGGAGACCCCTACCAGCGCTGAGATGCTTACAACACCGCTGGATCCACAAGACTTCCCACCCACTGGCCTGTGATCTTCCTGCATTTGTGTTATTGCATGTGTTGCATGAGTCTGAAGAGGAATTTATAGATTGGTATGGGACATATGGGCTAATACCAGACTTATGGACTTGATCAGGACAGGGCTGGGATGTTTTCTTAATGTACAATTGCTCTTTATATAAAGCTCTTTCTTATACACATATGAGTGTCTATGAATTTGTTTCTCTAGTCTACCCAGACTAACACAGAAGATAAGAAAGATAGGAGAGAGAATAAAATTCAGGAGTCAGACACGTTTTTTGGTAGCAGGCTCACCTCAGCTCCTCTTAATGGACCACGCAGAACTGAGCGAGTTGTAGAACTGAGAGAAGTGAGAGTGAGCCTTTACTCTCTCGGGATCTTTATAGGTAAGCTGAAGGCATGCATAGTCAGTAGTTACATGCATCACAAGGTGGGTGGTATCTACAGTAAGGTCCCTGAGCTCACAGGTGAGGAAACCTAATACCTGCATTGGGGGAAGGTATGAGGGGGTTGGGTGTCATGGTGGGGAGAGAGAGCAGAAGGATCATGTCTGCTTCTATAGTACGATATAAACAACCATGTGCTCACTTTAAGGCAGCATAGCTGTTAAGGAGAGAATCTGGGGGAATGATTTTTAAAGCAGGATCATGTTCCTGGACTTGACCTCTAACTGACCAAAGTGGAGGCTTTCCTTCCATGGAAGACCAGCTTTCCAGACTCCCTCTGGGATCAGTTAGGGAAATAGGCGTCTTCGTCCTATTCCTTCAGTGTTCGTTTCCCACACCTAGGGGTGTCTAGCTGACACGATGTCTACCCATTACAATCAGGATACAATTGGGGACCAGGAAGCATGGGGGCAAGGCGTCCCTTCTGCAGTGTAGGGCAGCTCCCCCAGTGCCTCCAACCATGTAAACGTCTCTCTTCCCAAGGATGTGAGCAGGGCCTCTCCACTCCAAGGACCGGCTCTTCTCTGTCCCCTCAGGACAGGCTCCTTTTGGCTCTGCCATGTGTCACTGCCGACTCTGCTGCTGGGCCCCTTCGGGACCTCTTGCTGTCTTCAGTGTGACAGCGCTTGACCCAAGTCACAGTTTTTTTTAAATGAGTGTCCTTGCCTCCTCTCTCTACTTCTTCTATCTTCTCCTACTCCTTCATAACGCTCCTCTTCCTGCTTTTTGCTGCTTGTGTCCTATGTCTTTCTCTCTGAAACCCCCCGGTGGAACTACTACTTATCTAACTCCACACTCTTCCTCAAGTTCGAGGCATGGCCCTCCCACCAAGACCAGGAACTAACCAATCTTTCTTTGTACACCCCCCGCCCCCAAGAAGATTTGGTAGATTTCCTGGGTAAATTGTAAGCAACTCAGTTTTGTAACTGGCGAGCAGAACAGAAGTCAAGAAAGTAGAGTAATTAACTCACACCCATAACCAGTTTTCCAGATGTTTTATATTGTTTTACCCAGGGACAATGATCCAATGGGTCATTATTATGGCACCAAGGGTCCATCTAACCTCACACTTCCCCATAGAATTTACAGGTCCGAGAAATAAGGGAAATAATAAAAAAAATCCAACTTACTGCCATTGAGTTAATGCCAACTCATAGCGAACCCCTGTGGGTTTCCAATACTATAACTGTTTGTGGCAGTAGAAAGTCCAGTCTTTCTCTTGCAGAGACGGAATTATATTCTCCAACTAATATATCAAAAAGATCACTTAATGAATTTTTGCTTCTTGTCCTATGATGTTGGGCTTCATGTGGGTGAAGAATCTAATGATCTAATCAGTCAAAAGCCATGACTTCCCCCTAACCAATTTTTTATTCCCTGCACTACTGAAACTACAGGCAGAGAGGAGGGTCACTCTGTTGGCAAGTGTGACTGAACTGGATTCCCAGAGAGAGGTTGTGTTGCTGGATCCAGGAGGACTGTATTTGGAAACCAAGGGAATTATACTTCCTTGACAGGTGAGTCTGCTCAGTGGAAAACTACAGAAACTCAGTCAAGATATGACCATCCAAAAGTCACTTCCCCAAAGAATGAAGATTTGGATCACACCCAGATAACACTGTCCCATGTGATGGTGACAGGTGGTCAAAGAATATGGAATGGGGGATGAAAGAAGGCAGCTCTGACCTCGCTATACATTCATCCATCATATTACCAACTTTGTTCAGCAGTACTTTCCCCTCCACTTCCACAACCCATTTCCTCCCTCTAAGATGTATGTGGAATGTGTGGTCTAACCCTACGGGGGCATGACCGCATGATTACCACCAGGCAATGTTACAATGACATGGTAACTGATGAGAATGGTTTCTTTTGTGTCGAGACACACATTTGTCATCCTGACAAAGAAAAATGGTGTACATGGAAGGAGGACAGTGTGGAGTGTGGACGGTATGAGGCATTTTCCGCTTCCTTCTCCAGCTTCCCTCTCTTCCCCTTCACCACCTTGCTCTGCCTTGGAAGTGGTAGATCTAGAAGGACACCATCAATGAGATCTCCTGCCCCCTGGCTTCCAGCTGGGCTTAGCCAATAGGAAGTCCCGAGTGGAAGATCAGAAGGGAGGTATTGAGTGAGATGGTGGCATTCCTTCCCCAATGTCATCTCTAGAGTGATACTAGAGTTATAGTAATCCTGGGTTGTTCATATTTTTCCGCTCCAGGCCAGAGGTCCTGCCAGGAAGTCGTCTTGTGATACTTTATCTGTCTCTCTTTCTCTCTGCAGATTCCAGAAATGGCGCCTTCTTCTCACACTTTCAGGTTTAAGAATGTTAACAGAGACCCGGTGCTATCAACTCCAGGAAACTCTGCTAGCTCACACACACACACACACACACACACACACACACACACACTCACTCACACTTTTGACAATTATCCCAACCTCTCAGGTGGAGTGAGCTCCTTGTTTGTGTCTGAGTCTTTCCTATTAAGGTAGAAGTTTCATGGATCCAGTGTACCTGCTTAACCAGCGGGCCAGGTAATGTCCAAATACCTTTGGGTGTAGCTCGCCAAAGGTCTTTTACCACCCACGCTGAAATGGGATGTGGGCCAGGCCTGTGGGCTGGGATGGTTGAGTGCCTTGTGGAGGGCCCCTCCTTCCTCCTTCCAGATCTCTGGGTGTTCTGCCCTCCCCTTCCCATAGAGAAGCTATCACTGGGTGGAAAGGCAATGTCTTTATTATCAGACACACGTGGCCACTTCTTGTATGTTCACTCTTCCACAGAGCAAGCTCAGCTATTCCCAGGGCCTCATAAATGTCACCAGGTGATGAAGTTACCAGGTCACGGATATGATGGGGAAATAATGACCTGTACAGTTACTAGGTCATGAGATCAAAGGGCATGCCAGCTTTGGGGTATCAGCAGAGTTTAAGAACCTCAGGGAACGGGATCAATAGGAAGGATAGGAAGAACCCCCATACCAAAGGACTGAGGAGAACCCTAGACCCAGCGCTCTGGATAATTGGGGGGTCAATGTACTCTTCATCTTGAGAATGCTCCTGCTCGACCACCGAGAAGACCCCAATATTCTGGGTATTGTTCAGTAACGTTCCGTGGGCCATGCAACCGCTAACACCCATTGTGGTGTAGATGCCACCTAGAGGGCGAAGAAGGAGTTACCGAGAATACCCAGGCCAGTGCAGTTGAAGCCCTTAGATGCAGGGTCCCCAACAGGGCCCTCTTCCTCAGACACAGGAACATCAGCCTCTAGCTTCCTCCCAGCGTTCACTCAAAACTCACTCCCTGCAGTGGAGCTATCGCTGACTCCCAGCGATGCCTTATTGGTTTCAGAAGTTGTCGCCGTTGACGGGAGTAGAAAGCCCAGTCTTTCTCCAGCGGAGCTGTTGGTGGTTTCGAACTGCTGACCACGGGGATCGCAGCCCGATGAGCCACCACTACACCATTAGGGCTCCTCCCCTCTCACTTTAGAACCGGTGAAACCCTCTCAAGACCCAGGATTCTCTGCCCCAGCTCCTTGCAAGAGTCTGGGCTTCCAGCCTTCTCCTTCCCACCCCGCTCTCCTCATGACGAAGGGTTTAACACTTACCTCCAATGAGACGCATGTTACCGCGATAACAACGAGTGGCGCCCTGCGGGCACTTAATGAGTGTCAAGTCTGTACAGGAGCCAAAAAAATTTACACAGGCAGGACAACTGATGCCAGAATCGTCCGGGACAGCTGGGGAACAGAGAGTGGGTTTGGGGTACACAACGACGCTCCCAGCTCAAACCACCCAACATGAGCTCCAGAGTCTTTGGGTCTATGGGGCCCCCATCTTCCCAATGCCCCCTCACCAACCTGCTGGATCCCATACCTTGGCGAGGAAGGGCGTTCAGGAGGACACTGCTAGTCGAAACTCTGTTGCACCCATTGGAGGAGCAGACATGGGCGTAAGAGGCGACAAGCACCCCAGGGGGCCTGGAGTGGATGGAGATGGTCGTAGAATTCTGTGGCCCCGGCCCCGGCAAGATGCAGCCTTTGCTCCCCAATAGGACTGCTGTATTTCCTGAGAGCGGTTGAGAGAGTAAAACCTCAACTGGAAGAGGGAGCTGCTTGCAGGGAGGCAGGGGTGAGCGAGCCAGTTTGGGAGATTCCGAGAGAGCCAGTAGGCACAGGTGAAGGCAGGTCCTCTAATTATAAGGGACAGGGGATGCGTAGGGTGGAGTGCGGGCCAGAGCAAGAGCTTGGGCACCATCAGTAAGTCACTGACCATCCATCTCAGGGCCCTGTTTCCGCTGGAAGACATGCTAACTAACCCAGTCATCCCAGATGCGCTGGGAAGGGCTGCTGGAGCTGAGCTCCAGGTATAGATCACGGAGTAGTGTCTGCTGCATGGCGGGCATTGTGTGAGCGTCCGTCTGCTCCCCTAGAAAACTCTTTCAAAGTCGCCTTCCACTGCCACTTTCTCAGGAGTGCTTCCCCCTGAGAACCTATTTTAAAAAGGCGACCCTTCCCCTCCTTTGGATGACCCTTCCTTTCTCGGCTGGATTTCCCACAGGGGGGTGGGAGTGGAGTGGAAACATGGATGTGGGAGAAAATCTCACCCTCTTTTAACCCCTTTTTCCCATGAGCTTTTTTTTTTTTTCTGTATAATTATATACTTTCAGTTGTGTTTTTTTTTTTGTTTGTCTTTTTTAACATTTTATTAGGGGCTCATACAACTGTTATCCCAATCCATACACACATCAATTGTGTAAAGCGCATTTGTACATCGTTTCTCAAAACATTTTCTCTCCATTTAAACCCCCGACATTAGGTCCTTGTACATCTGTCTCTCTCTCTCTTATTTTTTCCCCCCTAACTGTATTTCCAGATGCATAGAGGTCAAACATGACTGGATCCATGGTGCCAAGAATAGTGCTTGGCACCCAGTGCTCAGTAAATACCTACCAAATCGTTAAGATTATGTGATGTCAGCACTGGGCTCTGCTTTGTAGGTAGTTTATCACCTATGGCCTCATGACTACCCAGAAAGGTAGGGCCTATTATTGGCATCCCTTTAACCTTACCAACCACCATCCCACCCACGACCCCCACTCCCCAAAGATGAATCAAGATAGAAAGGAAGCATTCATTTTTCTAGCCTCTGGAGACCTGGTTCAGTGGCAAAAGCCTCCTCTTCTATTGGAGAGACCTGGATAGGGATTCTGACCCATGCACCCCATGCCCAGTCACCATCTATCTGTCACTGGAGCCTTGTGTGTTGCGTTCGAATAAGACAGACGAGGGAGAAAAGGCTGGTGACCCACCTCCAGAAGTCAGTCCATGAGAATCCCCTGGATGACAGCAGTCCCAGCACCAGCCCCTCATGAGCTGGCTAAGGACCAGGTCACTTCAGTGCATTGTGCTTAGGGATTGAGTCCCTTCTAGCTAACAAACCACCAAACTCGGGTCTGTGGAGCTGCAGGGCAGGGGGTGGGTGGGTGGGGGGAACCTGGTCAGGAACCTCAGGGGACAGAATGCAGGGCATGGAGGTACCAGATGCAATCTGGATGCCTTGTTTCCCTTGTCCAGCCCACGCACCTGCATCAATGAGCAGCAGTGTCTCCTGACACACCTCGCCAGCAGCACAGAGCTTGGTTGAAAACGAAGTCCATTCTTGAGGCTCCTGAGACAAGCTTTTACCACTTCTTATCATGCTCCCTGAATGACAGCGCACCAAATCTGGGGAGAAGGAATCAGCAAGGTCTGATGAATCCAGGGGACCTCTCAGGACTGCCTCGCCAGGTACCATGTTTAGGAAGGTGGATACATTCTTGAGCCTCAGCCCAGGGGACCCTTCTGCAGAGTGCCTCCATCACAGACTGAGAAGGGATTTGGAAGTCTTAGTCCATGCCCTCTCCCACCATTCTTCACCTGCTTTCAGCTTGAACACCTGCTTAGAACCATCTCTCATCTCTCATTTTTTTGGGGAAAATTGCTCCTCCTGGTGGGTATGAGGTAGGTAGATTTCCCTTAGCCTATACCAAACTCTCCAGGAGCCCTCGTGGCATAGTAGTTGGGCATTGGGCTGCTAACCACAAGGTCAACCGTTTGAAACCACCAGCCACTCCATGGGAGAAAGATGAGGCTCTCAAGTTACTCTCTTGGAAACCCACAAGGGTGGTTCTACCCTGTTGTGTAGGGTCACTAGGAGTGAGAATCAACTCAGTGGCCATGAGTTTGATTTTGTATGTGCATGCGCATGCACACCAGCATGCCCCAACCTCTACTTCCCTACCTGACCGGGGCCCTTACCAAAAAAATGAGGATGGGTAGGCAGTTTATTTTTCCAACCAAGAAACCCTATGTCCCAAACAGAATTACCCCCATTGCCTTCTATGTTTGAGTATCTACTAAAAGCTAGGCTCCGGGAGTCCTCTGAGGCAGAATTGACTTGATGGTGAGTTGGAGGCCATTGGAAGCACGTTCATGGACGATCCCATGTCACCCTCTCAAGCAGCTCATCTAGTCTGAACGACCTTATCTGAATCTCACCGAGTAGTAGTCGATGGTGCTATGATTACCATTTCCATGACGATGGGGAACGGGAAGGCAGGGAAGTTGCTAAGTAGCTTGCCTGGCATCTTATGATTACGTAGTGGCACAAGTAGGCTTGGAACTCAGATATTCTGACTCCTGTGGGCTAGAGGGCTGATCTTGCTCATCTACTTCGGCTCCTGTAGCCTTCAGAAATCTAGCTAGGCAACCGAGGGTTGACACCTTCTCTTGGGGCAGCAGTGGATCGGGGGTGGAATTCTCCATGCAAGAAACCCAGGTTTGATTCCCAGCCTGTCTCATGCACCTCCATCCCTCCTTAGTTAGCACAGGCTTGTGTGTTACTAAGGGGGCTGAGCAGGTTTCAGGAAGCCGAGCTTCCAAGTATGATGAACTAGGGAGAAAGGGCCAGCTCTCTACTTCGGCAAATCAGCCAATGAATACTCGATGGAGTGCGTGGTCCAGTCTCCAACTGATCATGGGCAAGAGTGCAGGACCTTCCAGCATTCCCTTCCACCATGCCTGTCTCCTGGGGCAGCGGCCACTTTGCAGTGACCAACGCCGGGCCTTCCCTTCAGACCAGCCCATGATCAGCCCAAGGCATCCTGCGATGTGAAGCCCACTGAGCCGGAGACTCAACCGCCACGGCACAGGCAACCTTCACGACATCCCCAGGAAGGGGGGCTGCTTGTTTCTCCATCTCACAGGTGACCCAGCTGCAACTCCTGTGCTCCTCCTCCCCCCAACCACAGCCCCACTTTCCCTGGCCCACCCTCCCCCATCTTGGTCCATGGAAACTCCTCCCTTCACCCCTCCCCGGTCGCTGACCATGTTACCCCTGCTGTTTCTTCTGAGCGTTTTACTGACTTGGTCAAGGTCTACCCTCTCCAATTAGAATCTAAGTCCCCTGAAGACAGGGGTTTGGGTTTTGTCTGGTGCCCGGTGTATTCCCGGGATTGATAACAGTGCCTGACAGCAGAAGGGTTGCATGAAACATAGTTGTGTGTTGTGGCATCCCCCCACCTCCCCATGTGACAGGGAACAGACAAAGCAAGACTCACCATTACTATTGCAGTTCTCACTCACATCAATGGGACCGATCTTGCGGGTCCCATTAAGCAGATTGCAACCTTCTTGGGCCAAACAGCCTTGGATTTCAATGTTGGTGGGTTGGAAATACCCTGTGGAAAGGAGAAGAGAGAAAACCATGGATGCTGAGAACATTTCAGTTCTCAGAACCTCCAAGAAGACAGGTTGTCTCACCCCTGGGGGGTGTGTGTGTCATGTCTCAGTTTACCTTCTCTCCTCCAGAGACTCAGATCTCAACTCTCAGATCATCCCATGGGGTCTGCTCCCAGAAGGACGCTGCCCTGTGCCCCAAACACCACGTCCCCAGCCACATACCTCCGCTGAATGTGAGGATGCCAGTGTAGCAATGTTTGGTCCCCGCTGGGCAGGGGAGCGTGGTCTCACTCACCTCCAGGCACCCATTTTCGGACAAGCAGGAGGGGCACTGCATACCCCCTGGTACTGGGGCACCTGGGGAGATACGAGGGAAAGGAGACTGAGGGAGGCTGGGTTTGGATCCGATGCCTCTCATCACCTTGCTACAGCTAGCTGCAAGAGCCAACCTCCCACATCTCCGGGAGCACCTCCCTGTTTGTTCACACAGAGTGGGAGGATTCAGGGGGCCCGGGTAACGAGAGATAAAGGAAGAGGAGGAATAGGAGACCTGGGCAGAAGTCCCCGGGGCCTAGATATTGAGGGGGACAAGCCAGGTGCTAGGGCCACACAGGGAGGGATGTCAAGGGGTGCACAGGGCACTGAAGGGGCCTTCGGAGGTTTGGACACGAGAAGACGAGATGTTCACACAATAGTCCAAAAAGAAGAAAAACTCCAAATGTGATTCTTCAAGTTCCCACTGTGTCCAAAACTTACACCGCACCAGGGAGGGGTGGGTGTGGGGGGAAAGGAAAGGTA